CAACAAGTTCAAAGCATATCACATTGGACAGAGACTTGATGAGGAGCTATTAAAGCCATATGACAAGTCCCAAAATCATAAAAATGCTTTATCCTTCAGTATCTATTCCTTGCCTAAATCGGAACTATTTAAGGCTTGCCTAGCAAGGGAATTTCTCCTAATGAAAAGGCATTCATTTACATACATATTCAAAACAACCCAGGTATCTGGTCTTCTTAAGAGTTAACAATGTCTTCTTCACATCACTTATCTCCCCAGTGAATATAAATCTAAGAGTATCTTTCTTCACATCACGTATTCTCCCTAATTAACATAAATCTAACCTAGTTATATATAACCATTTTGCAGCTTACAATTAGTGCAATCATCACGATGACTGTTTTCTTGCGTACAACCCTTGGAGTGGATGTTCTTCATGCCAATAACTATCTGGGTGCACTCTTTTACACACTTCTTAGCATCATGTTCAATGGATTTCCAGAGTTGGCTTTGTCTGTGTCAAGACTTCCAGTTTTCTATAAGCAAAGAGATTTTTACTTCTATCCTGCATGGGCTTATGCAATTCCAGCTATTCTCTTAAAAATCCCTATTTCCTTGCTAGAATCCTTATTGTGGATATCTATTACTTATTATACAATCGGGTACAGTCCGGAGGGAATAAGGTAGTTTTCAACTTAATGTTTCTAATCTTCAGGCAGTTTAGATAGATAGTGCAGAAATATAACCAAAGCTGAAGGAGTTCACATCCTTCTATTGGCATAGGTTCTTACGCCAATTTGTTCTACTATTCGTTGTGCATCAAATGTCAATATCCATGTTTCGTTTCCTTGCTTCTTACTTCCAAACAATGGTGACTTCTATAGTCAGTGCTAACTTGACATTGTTAATTGTCCTGGCATTTGGTGGCTTCATTATCCCACAATGTAAGTCTATTCCTTTCGTGGCCTTGAGTTACCAGCTAAAGTGAATATGATATTGTAGATTTTCTTCTGCAGCCTACATACCTGGTTGGCTAAAATGGGGATTTTGGAGTTCACCATTAACGTATGCAGAGATAGGTTTTGCAGTAAATGAATTCCTTGGACCACGATGGAAGGTACCATGGCTAAAGCTCATAAAGTTCACTTGCAATAGTTTTCAATATTCATTGATCTCTCTCCAACTCCAATTCTTCTCCGGAATTCGTTATCTGACAAATTTCATAAGCAAATGCAACTGTACAAGTTTATTATTGATTCTCTCCAGCTGTTCACAATTGTTTTCTAATAGTTTATACTTTACAGATTCCATCAGCAAATAGGACTGTAGGACAGCAAGTTTTGACAAGTCGTGGACTGAACTTCAGTGGAAACTTTTACTGGATATCATTGGGTGCATTAATTGGATATATTTTACTCTTCAATATTGCCTTTACTTTAGCCATGACTTTCAAAAAACGTAAGAAACACCTGCCAACTGGGTCATTTTGAAAGGAATTCAATATACTCTTGAACTTTTTTTTCTGCGTGCAATTGATGAAAACTTCTCAACTTTCAGCACCTGGGCGGTCTCGTGCCATAATTTCCAGTGAAAAGCTTTCTCAAATACAGGGAGGAGATCATAATAACACAATAGACATGACAAACACTTGCACATATTTGTCTAACGGAAGTCCTAAAGAAAGTAAAAGAACTAGTAAGATTGTTCTGAGCTATTTTTTTCATGAAGAGGAAAATGATTATAATAAAAAGTGTAGCTCAGAAGCAAACTGAACTTTATGTCAACATGCTGCAGGGAGAACGGTTTTGCCTTTTATGCCCCTCATAGTAACATTTCAGGATGTGCAATACTATGTAGATACACCTCTGGTAATCTTGTTAGTTGTCACAATATCACTGTAATATTACAATTAAAGGGTCCGTATTGATGGAAATTGACATTCTAATATTCATTCTCTTTCGATATACTAGGAAATGAAAAAACAAGGGTATGCAGGGAAAAAACTGCAGCTACTACACAATATTACAGGTGCATTCCAGCCTGGAGTTCTTACAGCACTGATGGGTGTCAGTGGAGCAGGAAAGACTACACTTATGGATGTTCTTTCTGGAAGAAAAACTGGTGGTACAATTGAGGGGGAAATAAGAATTGGTGGATATCCTAAGGTACAAGAAACCTTTGCTAGGATATCAGGATACTGTGAGCAGAATGATATACATTCTCTGCAGGTTACCGTTGAAGAATCAGTAGTATATTCAGCCTGGCTACGGCTTCCAAGTCAAATTGATCAAACTAGTAGATCTGTGAGTAATTTATTTTGGCATAAAGTAGCATTTAACTCTTTGTGCAAGCACAGACATACCTAGTTAAGATACTAGCTGTTCGTATTAAGGTAAATTGTTGTTTCTGAGATGCAATTTTGAGGTAACACATTCATCTTAATCACCAGGAGTAGCATTTAACTCTTTGTGCAAGCACAGGCATATCCTACTTAAGATACTAGTTGTCCGTGTTAAGGTAAATTGTTGCTTCTGAAATGCAATTTTGAGCTAACACATTCATCTTAAATCACCAGGAATTTGTAAACGAAGTCCTCGAAACTATTGAGCTTGACGAAATCAGAGATTCTTTAGTTGGGATGCCTGGGGTGAATGGTTTATCTACTGAGCAACGGAAACGTCTAACAATTGCTGTAGAGCTGCGGTCGACCGGTCCGGTCGACCGACGCTGTTTTGGGCTGGGCTTTCAGGTTTTCGACCCGATTCGTTTTGTAAGTTCTATATATACCTAAACCTGTTTGTTTAGGGTAGAGGTTGGACGAATTTGAGCAGCCAAAGAGAGAGAATCATTGCATCCAATTGTGAGAGAGCTTTGAGAGATCTAGAGCTTTGTTTTAGGGTTTGGTCTGAGAGATTTGTAACCCTATTTGTATTCTCTTGATTTCTAGTAGAAAGAACTCCCCCCTCCTTGCCCCGTGGACGTAGGCAACTTGCCGAACCACGTAAATTGTGTGTTCTTGCTGTGATTGTGGTTTGCATATTGTTTGTGGTTTAGTTCTAGTTATTGTTCGTGTTGCCCTAGAAAGCTTCCGCCGCGCACAACAATTGGTATCAGAGCTAGATCGACAACATGGGAGATGCAAGCACGTCAGGTTCGTCTCTAACAAAGGCGATACAGAGTCTGAGCATCAATAACACGAAGATTGATGTTCCGAAGTTCGATGGCAAGATCAATTTTGGATTGTGGAGGTGTCAGGTGATGGATGCTTTGGATGCACAGAATTTGGAGGAGACTCTTGAGTTAAAAGAGAAACCCGCTGAGTTGGAGGATAAGGTTTGGAGAAAGATGAACAGTAGAGCTTGTGGTGTTATTAGGTCATGCTTGACGCCGGATCTTATTTATGATGTTATGAACGAGACGTCGGCGAAGAAGATGTGGGAAACACTCAATGAGAAATATCTTACGAAGAGCATTGAGAATCGGCTTCACTTGAAGAAGAGATTTTACCAGTTCAAGATGAAGAGAGGGGTTTCCATCAGGGAGCATGTCAACAATTTCACTAAGCTACTTTCAGATATGGCCAATGTTGATATTATAGTTGAGGATGAAGACAAGGCGATGCTACTTCTGTGTTCGTTGCCCGAAGATGATTATGGTACGTTCGCTCACTATGATCAATGAAAGAACTACAGTTAGCTACAAGGAGGTGACCTCAGCTTTGGTGAACTATGAGTTGAGGAAGAGTGATGGTGAATCCTCCGAGAAGGCATCGGGAGATGCGTTAGCAGTTCGAGGCCGAGATCCAAACCGTCGTCAGTTCAACTGCTCAGAGTCAAAGAATAGGAGTGCCTATAAGAGTGTTGGTAGAAATCAATGTCGGTATTGTAAAGAAGAAGGACATTGGAAGATTGACTGCCCAAAGTGGAAAGAAAAAGCCGGAAAGAATAAGGAGAAAGCTGCACAAGCTTCAGAAGTGAATGTTGCAAAAGCTATTGGTGAGCATTCAGATTCAGATTCTTCAGGCTATTCATGCCCTGCTTTACCGTCGGTTTGCTATGCGGATTCCACGGAGTGGATGATGGATTCGGGAGCTACATATCACATCTGCCCTAAGAGGGAGTGGTTTTCTAGCTTTGAGGAGCTGGAAAGAGGGGATGTCGTGCTTATGGGTAATGATCATGTATGTCCTATTGGTGGTATTGGTTCAGTCCGGATCAGGATGCATGATGGTGTAGTAAGGGAATTGAAGAAAGTGAGGTTCGTGCTGCAGTTGACGAAGAACATCATTTCTCTTGGGACTTTGGAGGCAGCAGAATATCGAGTGATCTTAGAGGATGCTACAGTGAAGGTCACGAAGGGTTCTATGGTGGTGATGCGAGGTGT